GAACTTCATTAATTGGAATTGATTGATGCAATTTTAAACGAAGTTTGCTTTTTTCGTAATTTGAAGTTAAACGTTTTATTGAGCCATGAATTATGCCTCCATAGTACTAGACGAAAGTATACGAACAAACTTGTTAAGACAGTATAATTTTGATTAGAAACGTTGTTCGGCAGCTTTTGTAATTCACGAGTTATATAAACACGAGTAGTTCTTTTTAGACAACCCGATATAAAAAACATGGTGAAAAAATAAGTCATTTTGCTAATCATGGGGATGTAAAAAATAGTTTATTAAAGGTTCACATATAGTACATGAATACGCTTTGTTATAAATCTCTTATCTCTTATATTTAATAAAAAGCTTAATTAAATTTTATACATAGCATCTTTTAATAGGTGTATCTGGCTTATCACTAGCTGTGACTTCATACAAAATATTGGTAACACCTTCGCGTGTATGTAAAGTTGCAAGCGATTACTGGTGAAAGTTTACTTCTAAACTATTCTTTCAATTTTTTAAGCTCAGCTTCATTGTTTTTTATATCAACGATAACCTGTGAAATTGACAATTGTTTAATTGTCGACTAGTTGTTGAAGCTACGATATATTGGTAGCATTTCACTCACTTTTCCTGTACATTTGCTGTCTACGATAGATTGCAATGCGTCGTTTACATTATTCAGGCCAACAGTTAACTCAAGAGTTGGTTTAATAAGACCCTCGTCAAAAAATTGAAACACATCCTCCCCAGCTTGACTAATTAAAAGAACAAAAATTTGATAATAGCCGTCTTTAGATTATTTCGAACTAGATATTAAGTTGGAAAAGAAATCTACCGATATTCTTCAGGCTTCTGTTTTCTATACTCGCGCAAACTAAATCCGGTAACACTGAAGTTATCGGAATCGGTTTTCGTCATGGTTGCTGCTGTTCCGGCAATTATTAGCCTTCCTTTGTTACAAAGGGTACAAATAAATGAATTGCTCTACATTAAATCATGTTTATAACTAAATTAATTATATACCTTCGCGAGAAAGGTGATGTACGACTACCGCGAAACTGTTATCGCACAATAAATCTTTTATCGTCGAGCCGCTTTTATAGATGCCGGTAAAGCTAAAAATATATGACATAGCAGCTACCAGTGTTTGTTACCTGATCAAAGTCTCACATGAAAATTGATAAAACTCTTAAGCATTCAATTCTCATCGAAGACACCGGCTACTTACCAATCTAGGACTTTTTTAATATATTCACCATCTGCATCATCGAAAATAACTTTGATATCTTTATCCGCGGCTACTTCTTTTATTTGTTTTAATAATTTGCGATCTTTAAATTTGAAAGATGCGAGGACGCCTTTTTCTCTGGCGAGATCTGCTCCATCTTCAGTAGCGCAAACTGCTATTACCTGAATTAATATATCGCTATAGCAAACCTAAATTCTGCTAAAACATCCTTCGACACTTTAAGTCTAACCTGAGCCATGAATACATTTGTTGCCAGATCGACTGCTGCTAAACCAACGCTACTCATACCAACATTAATTAAAATCATATCATCCTCCTGAATACTAACTTTCCTTTCTAATGCAACTAAAGCATTTATATAATCGTTAAGTAGGCATGCCGCATCCAAGGATTTCATCCCAGATGGCACTCTCCAAATATCCTGTAAGACATATTTATAGTTGTATGCAGATGGAAACTATTAATTTAATGAAATCTGCTTACGCTAACTTCTGCTACACAACGATTGCTTAAACCTCCATTATTGTCTTTATTGAGAGCAATGACCTTATCTCCAACTTTATACCCACATTTTTGTGCTTCTTCTCCAACTTCAATCAATTTTCCAACAAGCTCTTGACCAAGAACCATTGGTAAACATGGTTCAAATGAATATAAATTTTTTGCTAACAAAACATCTGATGCATTTAGAGCACAATACTGAACATCGATAAGAACCTATTCAAATAAAATACGCCCAAAAAAAATACATCGATCAGTACTCAAATTTACATGAAACAGATCTACTCGATTATCAAAATTAAAATTACGATGACAGTGCTTCAAAATATTTCATCGAAATATCTTTGTTATTTTCATACTCACTTCGTTCGGTTGCGATATTTTAGGAGGTTCGATTGTTTCTACAATGAGTGGGTTGGAAAATTGTTTCAATACTGCGGCACAGATATTTTCACTTCTGTTTGGAATCTTTGTTTTGGCAGGGTCTTCTAGGTTAGGATTGGTAGTAGAAATAAATCTAACGACTTTTGTTCTTGTCAACAGCTTCTTTAAGTGATTTCCGCAAAAGTGCGTTAAGAATCTTCTTCCTACGGAGGCTGACATTTCTCCAAATTGTAAATATTATTTAAATACACAAGTACAACATAACCGGGGTCTTTCAACACTCTACTTTGTCACTTTCACTTCGGTTAGGGATGGTTAGGGATGCAGTGCAGTTATGGTATGGTTGTGATGTCTACTAGCGCTACTTACGGAACTTTCGCTAACTAAACAAATGGCGCCATTATTATATTACATCGAAAAGGTTTGGCACTATTTTTGCCGGTAATGTCACCTCGATGCATTAGCCGTATGAATTAAGATTAGCATAGAATAGATTTTCATTTGGGCATTAAATTATTAGTCTATTTGAAATTAATTACTATTCCAAGAACTCTAGTATAGTTCTGTTAACGTTAGTTTATTATTGCTTGTATTATTTTACATAAACTGAATGTAGTACAGTGATAAAGTACAAAGCGTCTGAACTTTATTTAGATTATGTTAATATCTTTTTGCAATCGCATCGTTCTTTTCTCTGTTGTTCGTCTAATGATCATTAGATACTTATATCTTATAACGAATAATATGTAATAATTCAATACTTATAAAGGATTATGAAAATTAAGTACAACATATAATACGCTTGTATAGTATAACAAATGGAAATGACTATGTTTCGCCTTACATATCGATTTTGTTTGGAAAAAGAAATCTTGAGAATTCTGTACTAACTGTACAATTAATAACCATACTGAATTCACAAACAGAATGACGATCGTCAAGGTAGCATTAGTAAAAGTTATGATGTTATAATTTTATTTAATTTATTCGTTGACAATATTAATTCATGCATTAAACAGTATGGCCAGCCGTACCCATTTCTATCACAAAATAGTCATAACATGAAAATCTTTGTTTCGCTTAGAACAAACACACTGTAGATACTAAATTTGATGACCAGATTGAAGTTAAAGTATAAAGCGACGATGAGTATGACTAGTACATTATTATAATCTTTCATACAAAAGTAGTAAACTTATTTAATTCAGGTTAGTGTCAATAAGACGAAATAATGTTAAATTGCGCTAAGATTGCTCGAATCTCACTTGTATGGTTTGCGTACGAGAAGCGGCAAGAAAGCATTGTATTAATAAAATACGCTACTGAAAATATTCTAACTTTAGTAAAATTATGAAAAACTTTGTAGAAATCATCAGAATAATCCTTAAACAGTTAGAACTGGTAGAACTAGTAGAATATTTCATCAGATAAATTGGTTTAATATTAAAAAATTACTTGACTTAGATGCATACGAGACATAAGAAATACAAAATATAAATTAAACATAAATGAAAATCTTGGGAAAGCATTCAAAGAAAAAGAAATTGTAGAATACTTTCTTTTAAATGATAAGATGATCGATGAAGAAAATATAGAAATGAACTATAGATTACAGGAGGAATGCGATAAATGATTATAAATATCGAATTTAAAAATTTCACAAAATATACTGCAAAATGTCTTTATAATACGAAAAAGACATACTAATGCATTTCACGTTTGCTACTTATATAATCACTTTTCTTTCAATTCATTAATATCACGAACAGAACGTCAGTACCGATATACCAATCTGTATTTTAATTAAAAATCTACCTACATTACGTACAGTAAACAATACGAACACTTTTGTTCCCCATCTGAAAACAGTCGTCGACTGAAAATGCTAGGTCTAAGCATTTTTCGTTGGTAGTATAGCTGGATTATAGAACACATACGTTGACATAATTCGTCTATAAATTTTGTAACATATCAAAACAGTATACTGTGCATTCACGTTCATAATACTGTGAATGAATTTCATCTTAATTCTACACAGAATATTAGGATATTACTGCTGTGGTACTATGCACTCTGTTGTTAAGTGTACAAGTTTAGTACAAAAGTTCGATTACAAACATTAGAAAAAACTATTATTTCCCGTTACTTAGAACTGAAATCTTAGTAGTAAACCTATATTCTGGAATGCTGTATTAATAATACTTCTAATTTAACATCGATGTATATCAAAAGTCGTTTCGTTTGAATATATTCATACAGTCGGCGAAAACTTCTATTCATCCTTGTGCAAAATTCAGTTTAAAAGTTAGAAACCAAAGGAAGATATAACGTGACTTTAAAAACGTCGGTACGATATGAATGTAAGTTAAAATACAATTACTTTCATATATTGTGCCAATTTTATAAAATAAATAATATTAATAAATTCGTAGATTCATAAATTAAAATAGGATTTTTTAAATAAAATTTTCGATACAATAACTGCATTCGTTCTCCATGTTTTTTGGATACAATAACCATTCCATTCATAAAAAAGATGGTTTCAAAAAATTGTATTTACTGAATACTTTCACTATCGATATATAAAACCACCCAAACCGGAACAGAATGTTTATGAATGTTTAAAGACGCTGTGATCAATCGAAATTATCTGGGTTAAGTTAGATGTTGAAATTACGAATTTATATATTTTCCACGAAAAAATGAGTTAAGATGAATTTGATAAAAACTTTCCAAATTGTTTCTCGAAACATTTTAACTACTATTTAGTCGTATATAAACATACCTGCAAACGGTAAACGAATAAAACTGCTCCGTTTATTATAAAATCTGCAAAGAATTGACCAAATACAAGAAAACCACAAAAGAAAGTCAACTTCATTTAATTTAATAAACTTTAACACGATCTAAATTAAAGTCTAGTTAAACTTAAATTCTGTCTAAAGATTCGATTGCTTCGCCGTTAGCGGCTAGTTTACATTTTTTTTGTGGTTGATTGTACATGGTCTGCAGAGGTACATGAAGCAGTTCCACAATTTGTATAAAATTAGGCTCTGGAACAAAAAACGTACAATATATTAATAGTATGAAAAATATATATATACAGGTTATAACTAAACATACAAAATTTACCGTTCTCTGCTGTGATGTATCCGTGTCTAATTAAAAAGTCAAGGGCAACTGGCACAGATGTCGTTTTGAAATGTGAAGACAATATCCTTTCTAAGCATTCATTGACTGGAAGCAATTCAAAAGTCTCTACCTCTCCATCATTGTTGCTTGGTATAAAATCTGGTGGTAGTTCTAGATCGTATACAAATTCTGTGTTGGGAAACAGACCCCTTTCACTTTCAAAGAATAGAGATACGCAACCAGCACTCTTCAGTTTTGCGATAAGATTATTGGGAATGCTGGCTTCTTCTCCAGCTTCTTTTATAGCAGTTTCGTTAATGCCATATCCAACACTCAATCCACCGCTCACCATATTATCCCAGTATCCAGGCCAGGTCTGCTTATTTGGGCTACGCTTTTGTAACCATATTGATAAACCTTTCACAGGATCCATAACATACCCATTAATGTCTACACCATATTTGCGAATTCCGAATAGACCTATGAGTTTAATATTAATCAATAAAATGTTTTTTGAAAGAAAAGATTTATCAATTGCTAAGAGCATTTTCTTACATGTAGCTGATCGATCCATCTTAAATAATGGTGGTGTATTGAATTGTGCACGTACTTCATAACATTCTTCCCTCCATCCTCGTAGGGTTACAAACTTTTCACCTGCCCGCCATTCCCTCAAAACTTCATCTACACGAGCACTTCTTTCTGAATAGTCTCGAAATGCAGGATTTAGTTGCACATATTCAGGATTTACTTGAAATACCTTTATAAGGTTAAGCAGAAATTAAGCAAAGATCTACTTTCAATATATTAGAAATTCCAAATGTAGAATAGGTACCTGAGGATAATTTAATAATTCCTTCATTACATCTGGACGTACAAGACCAACTTGTTGTCCATCAACAACAAAGGCTCTGCATTCACCTGCATGTAAGCCTGAAAATTGTGTTGGTTTTAGAAGTGTTGCTTTAGCATCATACACTTCTAATAAAAATACATAACTTTAAACATATCTTGCCTTTTTTTTACATGTATTCCTTATTTTGTATTCCTACATATCACATTACAAAACATAAAATTCAAATGCAAACATGAGACATAAAAAATTGAGGTTTCAAAAACATAAGATTACTGAAAATTCAAGTACTTTCAAGAACAATAACATGAATCAATTCCACTAAAAAATATCATGTACACTAAAGATTTCTATAATTACTTCAAGAAGTATATATATATTCTATTTTTACACTTGCTTTAAATAATATACAAACTGATTATCGTATACATTATAAAATACAATTACATGTCAAACGTCTTTGGTATCTAGTTTGATAAATATATCTAATCACATCTACACGAAATATTTATCGTAAAAAGAGGGAAAGGGTCGTATATAAGGTGGGAGGGGAGGTATGCAAAAGAAGTTTTGGGCGAATCACTTGCGTTTTTGCATAAAAGAAACGAGTATTTTTATTATTCCAATGAAAATATAAGAAAGAATACACAACAGCCTCAAAATCAATATCTCAGTAGACAGGACGGTAAGCCACGCGTTTCTATGGTCTATTCACTGTAGAATCTAGCAATTGGAACGAAAGAGGAAACGATGCACAGTTAAATTAAACGATTTCGCTTACCTGACAGGTAGAAGCAATTAAATTTATTAGCGAGCTTCAATAAACGTGACATCGGTTTCTTATCGCTATCCGTCATGATGTTTCGCTGTCGTTAGCCAGCTGTGACAAAAAATGTTACCATAGAGCAAAAGATATGTCAGATTCGAGCTTCATGAGATTTCTACGCACTGAACGTGCAGCTATATTGCAATTGTTCATGATTGGTCAGTAACTTGTTTGTGCAATTCCTATGAATTTTGTATTAAAAAAGACATAAGATATTGTTTTTCATTCTTTCTATGCCAAACATAATTTTATTCTAGCGAAAAATCCCATTCGGAGCATGACAGAGCTCAAAACTTATTAACTGGAAATAATTGCAAATCAGGTTTATTAGTAATCACCGATATGTTTTAACTGCAAGATTGATAAGGAGTTATAAATAAAGAATAAATTATTTATGATTATGAATTGCTTATCATTTAAGTGAAGTGTAGTAGTGGAGTATATCGAAGGGTTCCCAACAATCCCAACAGGTGGGGCTAGATGTCCAAAATAATTTGTATTTACCGCCAATTCCCTGTGCGGAGAACTTGAGTGTTTCCTAAATTTATTGTAAAAATGAAGGTGAAAAAAGCAATGAAAAGAGGTAAAAAAGTGCCAGTGTCGTCAGAGTCCGAGTCCGATTCGGAGTACAATAGTTCAGACGGAGAAGTAAGTATCACCATTTACGTTTTAAGGTATTCAGGGATAACCCTCTTTCTAACCTCTCTTTTTTTCACGTGTAGTTACAGGAAGCTTTTACAAAGGGATTATTAAAACCAGGTCTTAACAAAGTAATCGAGAAAACGAACAAAGTACACAGGAATTGCGTAGTAAGTATCATAAAATGTCGAGTATCGCGATACTGATTTTCCGAGGAAGTAGTATAAGAGCGACGAAATCTTTTTCAGAGTCTTATGAAGCAAAAATTAGAGGTTATTAAATTAGATTTACCTTGGGTGGAAAGATTAGATATGATTAATATGCCAGCACCTTTAGCACCAGAGTTAGCATTGCAAATGCAAGAGCAGGAAGTGAGACGCTCAAAGCAGTTGAAGGGAAATAAAAAGTTACCCCAATACGATCCCTCAGAGGATCCTGTTCTAAATGATTTTCGTAGGGAGACAATGTTTCACCGGCAAGCCCAAGGAGCTGTCATGGATGGTATTGTCAGATTGAAAAAGCTTGGAATCCCAACAACTAGGCCAGATGATTACTTTGCTGAAATGGCAAAGACTGATGCTCATATGCAAAAAGTCAGAGAAAATCTCATGAAAAAGCAAACTATAGCACAGAGATCAGAAAAGATCAGGCAACTTAGACAACAGAGGAAAGTAGGGAAGCAAATGCAAATAGAAGCAATTTTGAAGAAGCACGCAGAAAAGAGAAAAATGTTAGAGGAAGTTAAGAAATACCGTAAAGGTATAAGACACGATCTTGATTTCTTAGACGACAAAAAGAAGTCTCAGAAAAAGAGTGTAGATCCAAAGGTTGCCGCGAAACGAAAGATGAAGGATTCTAAATTTGGTTTCGGCGGTAAAAAACGTGGTAACAAGAAAAATACAAGAACGAGTTCCGCGGATGTTTCGGAGTACAGGAGGCCGTCGAAGCCGGGAAAAGAATTAAAGAAAAAAGGTGGAAAACCAAACCAGAGATTAGGAAAAGGTCGTCGGGTGCAAATGAAAGCGAAAAGGAGACGGCAATAGATGTTCCTTTATGGAGCTGATATAACTCGTTTTGGACAACCAAATGATTCTGGCGTTCGAGCATCGGTAAAATAAATTGTTTACGTAATTAATGAAGTAATATTTTCCTTGTTATTCCTCACTTTTTGTCAAAATAATCCTCGGATCTCTTCGCTTGACGTCACTAACGAACAATTGCAAACGGTCTCAACAAAAGAATTTTTACGCATACGCAACTATATTCAAAACTATAATAATCAACAGCCGCGGCATTGATCACAGTTTATTCTATTCAGGGCATTAATGATAACACTTGGTTACACACACGCGTGTAAAATATCGAATAATATTGTACACGACTTTTCTTTACATCAGCCCGTTTTCATATTCAGGCGGTGAAACTACCCCAAAAAAATCATAAGAAAAAGCACAAATACGTATTTAAGCATTATAAATCGAGTGAGGATACTCGACGAGGACGTGGATGTGTAAATCGGAATAGTCTCTCCGTAGTGCCGATACTGCAGGTATACTTAACATGTGTCGTCCATTAGATAATCCGCTCCTACACGGCTTGTTACATGCATAGGACTGCGATTACACCATATATTACACGTACTCCCACACTGGCATTCACATTGAAATGCGTGTGCACAAGCTCCTATCTTTCTGTAATCGGTGGTGAATCGTGTGTACTGTTAATAATTATTCAGCCTTATCTTTGTTTTCCATCGACTCGCGCAGTCAGTGGTCGCAGGCGATCCATATCCCTCGCCGGATCGAACTTTGTGCACTAACAAAAATTGGAATTCGTATTTTATCTTTGTGAGATTATCGTCGATAGATTGGCGAGGTCGTTCTTTTCGAAACGAGTCCAAACGTGACCTTATTCGGGTTATTTTTAACCATATTTGACACGTTAATAAGGTGATTTCCACCTTCCCTATCTAATTTCAATATCGTGTCTTGGATGTCAGGATAATTTTAGATAATTATTTTTAAAGAACCCGGTTCCATCCCTTTTTGGGATGCATATCCAAGTGTACGCGTAACCATGGATGCGATGGATCCTCGAAGAGGATCGCTTGGACGAATGGTCAGCACAATATGGGATAACACGCGTGATTGGGTTGCGAGTATACATACATACTTGTTATTTGGCGAGTGGAAACACCATTGATCGTGTTGCACGTATAAAGCCTCCCTATTCGTGTGCAACCACGTGCACGTGGGTGTATAAATTTTTTTACAATAGCCTCGGGTTATTGTATTTAAATAGAGGAGTGCTCTCGCATTGTCCTCTGTTCTGTCTGACGCGGACATGAGAGCCCTGGGAATCTGCTCTTCAGGTAACAGCTGTTTTGGAGGGAACCACGGACTCGCGTTTTCCACATTTTTATCCTGTACCGTTTCACCAATTACGTGACCGTTAGGACTCGGTGTGAGATCGTGCACGTGTTTCCATCGACCATGCTTCCTTCACCACCACCACCCCTTCGTCAAGTAGAATTTCTATCTCTGCTCGCGACGAGACGAGACGATCGAAGAAGAAATATTGTTTGTCGTTGAAAGAATTACACCAGTTTTCCTAAAATGCAGAGATTGCGTTAAGATCAATAATTCACGCTACCTTTGGTACACCAGTAATTACAAACTGTGGCTTTAATTTTCAATACGGCCAGATCCCCAGAATCCCCAGAATCCCCAGAAAGGTATGCATTCGTTATGTCGGCGAATTACGCAACACTCGGTATTATTTCAACCAAATAAACGTTATGATGATACAAACAGTACACGGTGCATAATCGTTTCGTTCGAAAATTCCTGGAATAATGGCAAAGTTAGCGATGTCTCTAATTGGGGATAATCGTAGGATTGAATTCCGATAATATCGACGCGCGTTGTGTTTGAATATTACGAGAAAAATTGTAGCTACGGACGTTTACGCGAGTTCGAGTACATGGGTGAAGTATCAAGGAAGACAGTGAAACTTCCTAGCAGCAGAGGAAGGAAGACGCTTCGCGCATCAGAGGCATCAGGGTCGTTATTAGTGGATGTTAATGGTCTACCCGTCGAAGTGGAGCAGCTCATAGACCTTGACAGTGGATGCTGCCGTGTGTTTTCGTGTGCCGACAGGGAGCGAATCATTGCAAATTCTCGTAATTCCCTTCCATCTGTGGAAGGGTGGTTTCACGGGGCTTGACGCGGGGGTGGGAGAGCCAGAGAGGCAAGGGGGCGCCTCTCTTTCCTACGGCATAGTGGAAGCACCCAGGGGCAATTGAAACTCACGGCCATTTACTGCATTTCAATAATGGTTTCCCATCCTCTGACCCCGGTCTCCACCCACCCCCGCGCACACCATTCCACCCTCAACCCTACTTTTCCACGTACGTGCAATACGAGAGTCCGACGTTGCTCCACGGCTCGCAGTCGATTTACCGTGAGCTTTATGGTACACGCCAAGCGAAGGGGAATACACAGAAGTAACCAACGGCTAACTATCTCGTCTATGGACGATTGTATTATTTGCTGGAGCCTAACGTAGACACGTGCCGACGTAGGCTCCCGCGGCATTTTATGCTTCTCGGAACAGTCGTTTGGGAAATCGTGTATCGGGGGTTGCGAACCTAGCGAAAAAGATGGGAGAAAGTGCGACTGCTACCTCTTACTTTTAGCTCAATTTCAACAGAGAAATGGGCATCCCGTGCTCAACTGAGCAAAGCCGGAGCGAAGATTCGCAAAGGCGAGCTAGGTATTTTCCAGGGCTTGTCGTCGCGTATTCGTAATAATACCTGAACGATCTTTGAAACGTTCGTTTGGCGAAGAAATAAGGAAGAAAAGAGGGTTGGCTGGTTACTCGAAAATAACTTGCCGTGTGAAAATGATGTCCCTCGATGGGCCTGCAGCACGTATTCGAGCTTTTTCCACGCGTGGGACTGCAAAGCGTAACCAGTCGGCAGGGGTATGGACGGATATCTCGCGCAGATATTTGTATTGATGACAACCGCGGCGTGACATGTATGCTGCGCCGGCTGCTAATGGGTGAAATTTGTTTCGCTATTGCCTTCGGGCGATTCTACCGATTTCAAATTTCGCAAAACTCCATGTCGGTTGCACGGACTGCCTGTATCGGTGACAATGTGTTAATGGAAACCTGACACGAGACAACGATGAAGTATCCATCTCAATTATTTAGAACGCATAGTAGATCACAGGGCTTTCCTTTGTGTTACGGAGAAACGAGGATATTAATCGATCACGTGTTTGATAGATCGATGCAACCACTTCCGGGACATGCTAAATAATTAGAACATAGCGGTCGATCCGACAGCTTTGAAGATTCTGTTACTCTTTAAAACGCTGACCGCCGTGTTACCCATACACGTATGAGTGAGAGGACCTTTCACCGTGGAACTGGAGCAATTAATTCTCAAGGTGAGACGGTGAA